ATCTGCCTCAAACTTAAATTAATACATGTAAATTATTATTACTCCTCTTTCTTTCTATCTATTCTGCATTCTGAAGTCTGACTCATTTCTTGAAATCCTGTACTTGATATACCAAAATTTGCTACAGAAAATCCATATCTGTTCTACATGAACCAGGTGTCAGGGAGACAAAAGAAGTATATGACAATATTCCTGACTTCAAGGAGTTTTCAAGCAAATTTGAGAGGAAAGATTCATAAGTATGACAGAGTTAGCAAGTAGTGTAGAACAGGAATTGGCAAACTTCATCTCTAAAGGGCCAGAAAGTAAATATTTCAGTCATTGCGGGATGTGTGTTTTTTGTTTCAACTACTAAAACTCTTGTAGCATAAAAGCAGCTACAGACAACAAATGGGCATGGCTGTGTTCTAATAAAACTTTATTGGACACTGAAAGGAGCATTAAATTTTGAATTTTCATGTAATTTTTCCACATCATGAAATATTGGTTTTTTGTTTTTTCCAACCATTTAAAAATATAAACGCCATTCCTAGCTTGCAGACCATACAAAAACAGGCAGTGGGCAGGATGTGTTTAGCAGCCATAGCTTCCCAGCTCAAGGTGTAGAACACAATTAAGTATTTAATTGGGTGGCTCAGATCCAATGATATACAAGTTTAAGTAAGAGAGGGAATCATTCTTCTCAATACTTCTTTGATCTTTATTCTGGATAATTTTCTCAGATCTATTTTCTAGTATCCAGTTCTTATTCTCAGTAGTGTCTAATCTACTGTGGAACACTTCCACTGAGATTGTAATATATTGATATTTGAGCTCTTTATTATTTTAAGAATTCCATTTTTTTAACTTCTTTTCATAGTTTCATAATGACCTCTTCTTGAGTGCAGTATTATACCTTCATTTTTCTCTTTAAACAAATTAAATATACTTACTTTATAGAATAGTTTAGATTGTTTTATTTTCTCTGGGTTTCAGGGTGTGGATTTTCTTGTTTGCTGCTTGTGATGCTTTGTTTCTCTGAGAAGGGTATAATTTCTGATAGTAAATGCATATTCAATGGGGTTTTTGCCTGAGAGACCTTTATGAATGTGTCCCTACAAAGCGGTTTTGCATTTACCCTTGCAAAGCCTAGAAGGGTTTTACCCATTCCATAAGAGTTCCTATGTTAATTTCTTAGTTTCTATACCATGTAATATAAATTTAAACCCCACAACCTCAAAGAGTACAGGCTTGAGTTTGATATCTTATGAGCAATTATTTTCCCATTCATGGCCCTGAGCATAATACATGTTTCCTTGACACCTCCCTAAGGCTGGTGGTTAGAGTTTTCTAGTCCCTTCAGCTCCTTACCTGGCATAAGCCTAAACCTTCATTTCCTGTCCCAGGAATGACATTACGACTTCAGCCCCTGATGGAAGTCCATGGGTCTCATACGTCCATGGATTGTTGCTTTCTGCTCCATCACTGTGGGTTGCCCTTCCGTTTGAGTTTATTTATGTATTTCACACATTTAAAAAATTCTATTTTGTCTAACATTTCTGTACTTGGAGGGCAAAGGGAACCTTACCATGCACCTTCATCAGACAAATTCTCCAGAAGACCCAGTGGTTTTTGTGTTTAAGGTGAGGACATAAAAACATGTGAGGACCAAAAGGATGAAGATTTTAAATGTAGACAGGAAGAGTGTAAAGGTTCTAAAAATGGAAACTAAGATCCTTCTGGAGACACAGAGGACTGAGAATTCTCTTGGGTATATACATGTCCTATTTGTTTGTTTTTTAATTGTTTATTTTGAAATAATGTTATATTTACAGAAGACCTGCAAAGATAGTACAGAGTTGCTATATACCCTTCACCCAGCTTCCCCTAATGTTAACATCTTATGTAATGATGGTACAATGGTCAAAAGTAAGAAATTAACACTGGTACAGTACCATTAACTAAGTTACAGACTTTATTCAGATTTCAACAGTTTTCCACCAATTTTCTTTTTCTGTTCCAAGGTCCAATCTAGGATCCACATTGTACTAGATGTTGTCTCCCCTTCGTCACCTCCAATCTGGGACATTCCCTCAGTTTATCATTGTGTTTCACGACCTTGATACTATTGATGAGTGCTAGTCAGGTATTTTGTAAAATGTCCCTCCATGTGCGCTTGTTTGGGGGTTCTTATGATCAGATTAAGGTTGTGTACCAATAGGAATGATATCACAGAGCTGGGCGCCCTTCCCAGTGCATCACATCAGGGTTCCATATCCTATTACTGGTGATATTAACCTTGATCACTTGGTTAAGGTGGTATCTACTGTGTTTGTAGTTTCTATAAAGTTATTCTTTTTCCCTTTGTAAATAATAAATATTTGAGGAGCAATATTTTGAGGCTACGCAAATATACATTTTCTCCTTAAACTTTTGCCCACTCATTTTAGCATACATAGGTGGAGCCTGCCTACAACAATTTTTACTAATGTTCTAGAGGTCTAGTGATGATTTGCTATTTCCTTCTTTCCTTTTACACTTATCATTTGGAATTCTTCTGTAAGGATGAGTTATCTTTTCTCTACCATTTACTTAATCAATCATTTATTTATGTCGGTATGGACTTCTGAATATTTATTTCATTGTTTCATAATCCAATATTTTATTCTGTTACTGAAATGGTTCTGGCTTTGGCCATTGAGAGCAATTTCAGGTTGGCGCCTGTGTCCTTTCAACATGCCACCGTCCTTAGAACTTCCTTAGCCTTGGGTACTGCAAGATTCTCCAGGCTCATCTTTTATCATCCCTGCCCCAGCCCTAGAATCAATCACTTCTCCAAGGAGCTGGATAGAAGTTTTAAATCGTAGGAGTGGATAGTTTAGAACCCTTCACTTTCATCCAGGGGAAGAGAAGAGAGTCAGAAAAGAAGCTGGAAGGAACTTGGGGAAGCCCAGCATTCAGGGCTTGAGTAGAGAAGGTTTTATCAGAGAAGTGAGAGTACACTCAGAGTCGGATGTCAGAGAAGCCATGAAAAGACACCCTCATAGAGCATCCTACCTGATCCTGTCACCTTATCTCACTATTTCCTCTCCCAGCCAGATAGCTTTATTGCCCTGGGTGAACCAAATCCCCAACTCTGAGGAATCAGCAGTAAATATAACCAAAACTAACAAATTCAGCCAGCCAATGGACTTTAGTCCTTCATCCCTCTTACTGAAATGTTTTTCCCTCCTCTCTCAACCCGAATTCCACTCTTTCCAAAGCAGGGCAAGTTGCACCTTTTCAGCCTACATTTACCTTTGCTTTATACAAATACCATGGCTCTTGTCTCTCCAGTCAATTGGTGTTTGGATTATATTCTTTAAAAAAATTTTTTTTCTATTTGTTTCATATTACTTGTTCCCCCAAAATACTGTAGCTCCTTTAGGTCAGACGCCAGACCTCACACTCTCTGGTATGTTCAGTAGTTAACAATCTCTAAATACCTAATAAGCATTTAATAAATATATGCCATTTTAACACTCATATTAATAAATCAACCACTATGTTGAGTCATCAAAGAAATAGTTGAGCGCTGGGAAGTTTCCAGGAGCCATCTTATCTATGCAGGAATGTTAAAAACTACTCCTTGAGATGCAAAGTTAGAATAGCTACCTGAATTGCCTATGGCTTTGATGATATTCCAAGAAGATGTAACCCTGAGCCGGGGCAATTCTTATTTTTCACCAGGAAATAATTCATCAGTATTTGTATGGCTTACCTATCAATAAAGCACATATTTTATATGAACCTTTCTTGTTCTGTTTTATAAAAACTGTATGACCTATTTCTATTTTTAAAATCAAGTATCTGTTACAGAATTACTAATATACAAAGCTATCAAATTTTCAAAGGACAAATGGGAGCATATTAATAAAATTCATTGATTTTTTAAAAGATAAATATCATTGTTTTTCATATTAAAAATAGTACTTATTGCTGAAAAAATTAAGAAAATATAGATAAGCAAAATTAAATAATCTCATAATCCCAACACCCAGAAACAGATACCATTAACATTTTTTCTAGCTTTATTGTTATAATTGACCCATTAACATTTTATAACATGCCATATGTGTATATATATATGGTGTGTGTGATCATTTTACAAAAATTACTTTGTAACTTAACTTTTTTCACTTAATGTTTCCATTTCTCACATCATTAAATACTTTCTACACCATTTCCCTTGTGACAGTGAATGGAATTTTATAGATTGGATGTATTATAATTTATTAAACTAGTCTCTATACTTCGACATAAGGCGCTTCCAATTTTCCCCCAATATATGCTGCAACGAACATTCTTATACTTAACTGTGAACACATCCATATTTCCTTAGCACAAATTTCTAAAAGTGAGTTTCTCTGTGTGAATGGATATACACAGTTTAAGGTTTGGGTTTTTTTTTGTTGTTTTGAAGACCATTACCCACCTGTTGTGCCAATTTACTATCTCAATCAGCAGTAGTTAAGGCAACTATCAAATAATATATCATCTCATATTTTTAAAGGAAACTTGCTCCCTTCTTGAGCCTCCAAAAAGATGATGAAATAAAGCTACATTTTCTTTTTTCTAGTATGGGAGTGCCTTTTTCCCGCAACTTTGATTAATTTTTTAATAGTTTGCTTTCTGCTATTAAAAAATGCATAACAACACGCATTATTGAGTGTGAGTTGCAAAGAAAATACAAGGTCATCTGAAGGAAAGAAGTTCAAGGGAGCATGGCAACAGCAGGAAGAACAAAAATGAAATTTATTAATTAGGCTCCTATTTGTAAATCTCTTGTCAAGGACAATTACGTTTTTAAGTAAGTTTTCTTTGGTATTACTAGTATATTTACATGAAAGATAATATGTTGCATTTTTATTTCAGATTCACCAGGTTTTCTTATAAAAAAGAAACTGGATCAGCCAGCAGTTGTATGTACACAAACAGTTGAGAAATAGTTGTCACATTTAAAATAAATTTCCCAGTAGAAATGTGATCATTAGTTCTTTATTTGTAGTTATTTATACACTGCACAAAGACCAACAGGGCCAAGAAAAAGGGAAATACAAATTTGTTAATGTCACAGTTCTGCTTGAACTTCAAGTTTGGTTTCATGAATTATTCTTTCCTGTTTGGGACATAAGTCTTTGTTGCTAATACACATATCAGATTTATTTCATGTGCAACATTAAGATGACAATTCAATAATTTCCAATTATTAATGTTTACGCTAAGAGAAAAATTCACATAAGTCCTTAAAGAAAAAATAGCTGATATATACACTTCCCCATTTCTATAGCTAAAAACAGAAGAGCAATGTAGCTTAAGTTACTTTAAAAAATTTGAACAGTTTTCAAAAACTTTATTTCCCCTTCAAAGATCTGAAAGGCAGAGTATGAAATCAACCTACATTTTTTTTTCTACTCACCTAACATCAGTCAATCGTGGGTGACTAAATCTCTACAAGTTTGCTTTAAATTGAAAAGTCCTTTAAACTAATACTGTATTCTTGAAGTATCCTTAAACTAATACTGAATTTTTAAAGTATAAAGGAGACAAAGTTGGCATCTAGGAAAATAGAAACATTCTATTGATCCCCCAAGAGACATGAAGAAAGCCAAAGATCACATAAGCAGTCTGTTTGGCAGTGGCAATAGTGCAAGAAAGAGCTATTAGTTCTAAATAGCACTGTGCCCACCAGGACGCAGGAATTTGCACCCAGGATATCCTGTTGCTGTTTGCAATATTAATTTATACTTTCTGCAAACTGGATAATATATATTGGTAAGACAAGCAACATTGCTTCTCAAACAAAGCCATAGTGGGTAAAAGAACTGATAAGTGATTAGCAAAGTCGGATTTACTTCTGGCAAGTACATCACAATGTTTGTAAGTCACGTATGAGATTGCCAAAGTGCCTATCGGCCAACTGAGCGAATCTTCTAGAAAAACGCCTCACAGTTGAAATGCTAGGGGAGTGACTCTGTAAATGCATGTCACACCTTGGAAGATTTTAATGATGTGGGGGTATGCACATGAACATATGCATGCAAAACGCTTTACTCTCCTTGTAATGCTCCAAATTCTAAAAATGTACATCTTGTGACTGGCGTGAATTATCTCTATGATACTGGAAAATTACCTGTCTTTCTAGCTTAAAGTTTTTGAAGGGCTTTTTTGTAGACTGAGTGTGCATTGAAAACATGATACCTTATTTTCCAGAAACCATAATCATTAGAAACTTTTGGAGGAGGGAAGAGATTTGTGTAAATTGGCACTTTACAACTCAGTACCTTTGAGTTTTAGTTCCTCCTTAATAGAAAATGTTGAATTTTTTCTTTCTAGTGAAAGGCTGTAGCTAGGTACGATGACTCTTATTTGGGGCTTCAAATTAAACTTCAAAAACAGCTTCACTAATATCCAGTGAATGCCTGGATGGTCCATCTTTCACTCCAACTCAGTGTGTGTAATAATGTCATATTTTAATTCATGTGTCTCTTCTTTGTTTAACTTGTCTGTTTTATTTCTGGTCTTACAGAGGTACCGTGCATTTCCCATGTGTCTTTAAGCCTCTGGCCAGTAACCATTTTCCTGATGCTTTCTGTGCCAAGGGAAGAAGAGATACCCCAGAAAGGGCCCTGACTCTTGCTACTCAGAGACCAGCAGCAAAGCATCATCTGGGCTTTTACATCAATCTACTTTTTACGTTTTTCATCTGACGAAATCCACTTTCAGGTGATGGGGATTACTTTTGTTACAGCAAGACTGTAAAGAAAAAGGGAAAGAGTTAATGTTCAGCCTACAAAATCCAAAATAAAATGTTTTATTGTGCAAAAGATAAAAGATTTGAAAGCCAAGCTTTGTTAAGAGAAGAATTTCTACTAGTCCTGTCTTTCCCCCTTTTGTCATATCACAAAGCAGGTGAATGCAGATCATAAGTTTTTTCCACAGCATAGAAACGACCTCTATTCCACGTATGACCTAGACTGTGACGTTTTCCCTTCATTGGTTTTATTTGGAAATAACTGTGTATTTACAGAAGAGTTGCAAACATGGTACAGAGAGTTCTCATGTACCCCTCCCCCAGCTTCCCATAATGATCAAAATTAAGAAACTGACATTGGCACCATACTCAGACTTTAGCTGGATTTCCCCGGGTTTTCTACTAATTTTCTTTCTTTTCCAGGGTCCAATCTATGACATCACATTGAATCTAGTGCATGAGTCTCCTCCAAGCTCTGATCATTTCATGGTCTTTCCTTGTCTTCCATGATCTCTACAGTTTTGAAGAGACTGTCCCTCAATCTGAGTTTATCTAATGTTTTCTCACGATAAGACTAAATGTTTATGTTTTGAGGAGGAATACCAGAAAGGTGATGTTAGGCCATGAATGGTATCCTTAATGTATGAGGATAAGACAAGGAGAAAATAAAAAGCCAGAAGTTTGCTCTGGTCCCAGGAGATGGTAGGGAGAGAAAAGAGACAGAAGCAGGGCAAGTAGATAAGATGATAATAGAGGTCTAGTTTTCAGGATCTCTTCCACACACAACTCTTTGGGCAAATCTTCAGGGCAAGGGCAGCTTTGTAACATCTTGATAGGTACAGAGTGACCAGAGGCCATTGGGTTGATGGCTCACTTTCCCAGACTTAGGCTCTAGGCAGTGATGTGCTGGTAAATGTTTAATAACTGGCCTTGGGGGTGGGGGGTGGGGTAGAGGTGTGGGAGGGTGGAGGCCTGATTTATAAAGTTTGCTCATTTCCGTGGTGTAAATACTCCTGCCTTGACCAATTTGAAACTATCAACATAACATTACTGAACAGAATTCGGAAGGACTATGTTGTAGTTCACTGTTATATAGTATTTCTACCATGCATCTATAACAAACATAGATAATAGTAAAATGCAGTAAAATAAATAGGAAGTGATGATTCTGAGTATCAATTACCTTGGCTGTTAATATAATTTGTTTAAAGGTATGTTTATATTATTTGATTTATAATAATGGCTCTGTTTAACAGCTAGAGTGTAAAATTCCTAAAAACTTGTTACAGGCTCCCTCCAGCATGTCACTGCTTCTAGGGGATTCTGGGCATTTGGTCCAGTACCACATCCCACGTGGATCAGAAGCAGTGATGCAGAGGTGGCCGCAGAAGGTGTACAGGACTTAGAAAGCAGTCCTGTCTCCTCATGGCCTTTGTGTGGGAAGCAAAACTCTCCGGATCTTGGGAAACAGAAGGATGAGGCAGGAAGAGAATTTGAGATAGACTGAGTCATCTAAAATAATGTTACTCAGGCTTTCCGGGTGGCACAGTGGTTAAGAATCCGCCTGGCAATACAGGGGACACAGGTTCGAGCCCTGGCCTGGGAAGAGCCCACATGCCGCGGAGCAACTAAGCCCGTGTGCCACAACTACTGAGCCTGCGCTCTAGAGCCCGCAGGCCACAACAGCTGAACCTGCATGCCATAACTACTGAAGCCCAGATGCCTAGAGCCCGTGCTCTGCAACAAAGAGTAGCCCCCGCTCGCCACAACTAGAGAAAAGACAGAGTGCTGCAACAAAGACCCGATGTGGCCAAAAATAAAATAAATTTATAAAAAAATAAAATAAAATAAAGTAATGTTACTCAAAATCCAGTCCACGGGCAGTGCCAGTCCACTAACTATTACTGATCTGAGGTGAGATAAATACAGGTGAGTTCACGTTCAGAAATTTTTATCATAAATTGACATTGCCTTGACATCCTAGCATGTGATCAGTGGACGGGGTTTGTTGGACAAGATATAGACTAGTTCAGGTGCATTGAACTGGAATGGCAAGGTGCTTGTGGCACGAGCTGCATTCTAGTCCTACATAGGAAGGCCATGTATTGGATCCATGATCCATTGGAAAGATCAATCAATTTGAGAAGCATTCATCTCAAAGGGGCTGGTTTTGAAATCATCATCTTTAGAAGGGAATAAAATACTGAGTAGTCTGAATGAGAGGTTGTCAGCATGTGTTCCTTGGACCAGCAACCTGGTCCACCCTGGAACCCCTTAGAAATGCAAGTTCTAAGTCCCCAGCCAATGTTCTGAATCGGAAACCTTGGGGGAGGGCCCAGAAACCTGTGTTTTAACAAGCCCTCTAGGTGTTTCTGCTTCACGTCTGCATTTAAGAACCACTGGTTAGAATGCTTTAAGTGAAAGAATTATGCTCAAGCTGGAGGAAAATGAAACACAATTAATTAAGTGCAAATTATCCCTGCTAGTATGCAGAGCTGGAGCCCATGAAAAAGATCAGACCAGGTAGAGGAAAAAGGAAGAAAACTCAACTTTCTTTGCATATCGGAATGATACGCAAATGCTAAAGCCAACTACTCTTAGTGGGTGATGATTTTTAATTTTTCTCTACAAGCTTACCCATAGGGCTGTGTTTCCACATTTCCAAGCATCAGTCATTTCCCAGCCCACTGCAGCCTGTTTTTATCAAAAAGGGTCACAGCGATAGGAACAAAAGAGTGTTTTCTTCAGCTTTGCTCTCACCACACAACTGCTGGATTTCTGGCTTTCCTCGCATTCCCTACAATTACCACTATTAATAGCTCAGGAGGCCCCTCCTGGCTGCTTTGGGTTCTCCATCCTTTTCCCTCTCTGCTCTCTATTCCAGGTACCCCTGGCATCTCATCTTCTCCAATGCTTCTGTCCCTTCCCAGATATGGTTTTGGCTTAGAATCTGGCTGACCTGGACATAAGCCGTATCACAGCCAAGAACTTCCCTCTGCTTTCCATCCGTGCTACGTTTTCTTTCTGGGGGACGCCACATGGGGCTCCCAGGATCTTCTAAGGCCATCTTTCTCAAACTGATGTGCAAGCAAATCACCTGGGGCTCTTGTTCTGGGACAGGTCTGATCCTGCAGGTCTAGGGTGGGCCCGAGGAGCTGCATCTCTAACAAGCTCCCAGGTGATGCTGCTGTTACCAGTCTGCAAACAAATTTTGAGAAACAGGTTTAGAGCAGTGGTTTTCCTACTTTCACCGTGTCTTCTCCCCAGGTCTTGAACACAGGTGAGGAAGTGTCGTCACAGGGTGACCAGCTGTCCTGGTCTGACAGAGATTGTCCTGAACACCATGTGTCCTGGGATATCCCACAGTCCTGGGCAAATCTAACAACTGGTCATCCCAGCAGCCCCGAACCACTCTGAAGAGCCCTCATTCTGCTTCTCCCCAACTCCCTCCCCATCCGACCCTTGGATTTTTGCTTCTTGACTCTTAAGGTAAATGTTTTCCCTTGAGGCTCTTCATTTCTCCTCTGTGAGATGCCCTCTACTTGGCAAACCTGTCTCCACTGGCCCTGAAGACAGAACTGCATCTGCACCCTATGTAGTTAGTTAGCCCAGTCTTTGGAAGAGCTGCCCATTAAACTTGGTTTGGAAGGTTCCATGTAATGTTTCCCCACAGATGGTCAGAACTAAGAGGCCTCTCTGAGATTGGCTGGGCCCCTATTTGACAGTTCACTCCTGTGCTTTCACATAAACATTCTCCTCCCTCCTGGTCTCTGCAGACCAAGCAGGATTGCCCAGTGCCTGGGAGCAATGCATATTCTGCTTTGCTTCTTAGGTGATGATATGGATGTTAACTGGAATTAGCAAAAACAAAAATCTTCAACTCTGAGGTTTGGCAAATACATGTTTTCCAGTATTTCCAATTGTCCTTTCTACGTTGAAGCCATGAATTCTTTTACGCACAACTTCATGCTTCATCATCGTAGAAATACAGCTCTGATTATGTCCATCCACAGCTAAACACCTTCATTAACACTGAATTTCCAGCAGAATCATTTCCAGACTCCCCACGTTAGAACAAAGCAGTGGTTCTCAAAACTTTAGGATGCATCAGAATGACCTAGAGGGGTTGCTAAAACACTGATTGCTGGCCTCACCCCTGAGTTTCAGATTCAGTTGGCCTGGGTGGGGACCCAGAAACTTGCATTTCTAACAAGTTTCCAGGAGATTCGGATGCTGCTGGCTCACAGAACACACTCTGAGAACCACCAGGCTAGTGGACCCCTTCCATCCGGCCACAGATTGCTTTCCTAACACCCAGCTACAGTACATGTTTTCTAAGATAGCCCTGTGCATACTGTATGCTTTCCTACTCTGTGCCTTTGTTTTGTTTCATTCATGTATTCACTCATGCATCGTCTTAGTCTCCTCAGGATGCTATAACAGAATACCAGAGACTGGGTGCCTTAAACAACAGACATTTATTTCTCATGGTTCTGGAGGCTGGAAGTCCAAGATCAAGGTGCCTGTAGGTTTGTTTCTTGGTGAGGGCACTCTTCTTGGCTTGCCGACAGCCACTTTTTCACTGTATCCTTGTGTCTCTTCCTCTTCTTCTAAGACGCTCCACCTTCATGACCTCATCGAAACCTAATTACCCCCCAAAGGTCCCACTTCCTAATACCACTGCGTTGGGGTTTGGAATTTCAACACAGGAACTTGGGGAGGGACACACATTCAGTCCAGAACACTCATGGATTCATTCATTCAATCAGTGGTTCATTATTTCATCAAACTTTTTTTCCCAGTTTTATTGAGGTATAATTGAACGAAGTTGTAAATACTTAACGTTTACAATATGATTTTTTGATAAACTTCTTCAAACATCTTTTTTAGCATTTGCCAATTTATTTCTTTATTTTTAAAACTTTTTCATCAAATATTTTTTAAAGACCAACACGACTGACCCTGTCCAGTGCCCTCATGAAGTTTATGGTATAAGAGAAGAGAAATTTTACCCTTTTACGGAGTGCTTCATGGTTTCCAAAGAGTTTCCACACTCAATCTCCCATTACATCTTCTCCAGAGCCCTGAAAGACCAACGGGCACAGATCGTTTTACACATTTCACAAATGAAGAAATTGAAGGGGAAGCGGCTCATCCAAGGTAATGTCAACGCAGGTCTCCCCAGTCCCAGGCCAGCGTTTTTTCCACTCAGTTCCACAGCTTCAGTCTTGGCTCACTGTACCCTCTCACTCCCTACTGTCCAAACTGTACCCCTTCTTTAAAGCCCAATCTGACACTACCTCCTCCACGAAGCCTTCCCTGATAACCCTAGTTAAAATAATTTCTCCTTCTAGAAAATTCGAATTCAAAAACATACATTCACCCCTGTGTTCAGAGCAGCACTATTTACAATAGCCAAGAGATGGAAGCAACGTAAGTTTCCATCGACAGATGAATGGATAAAGAAGATGTTGTGTGTATACACAATGGAATATTACTCAGCCATAAAAGGAATGAAAGAATGCCATTTGCAACAACATGGATGGACCTAGAGATTATCATACTAAGTGAAGTAAGTCAGACAGAGAAAGACAAATATCATATGATACTGCTTATATGAGGAATCTAAAAAGAAATGATACAAGTGAACTTATTTACAAAACAAAAACAGACTCACAGACATAGAAAACAAACTTATGGTTACCAAAGGGGAAATGGGAGGTGAGGAATAAATTAGGAGGTTGGGATTAACAGAAACACAGTACTATAAAATAGATAACCAACAAGGACCTACTGTATAGCACAGGGAACTATATTCAATACCCTGTAATAACCTACAATAGAAAACATGAAAAAGAATATATATGTATATGTGTAACTGAATCACTTTGCTGTACACCAGAAACTAACACAACATTGTGAATCAAGTATCCTTTGATAAAAAAAAATAATAATTTCTCCTTCTCATAAAGTAAGATAGTACTTTATTTTGTGTCTCTACTGGCATTAAAAATATATATATATAAAACTTCCCTTTCTAGATAGACCCCAATCTCCTCGGGAATAGGATTAATACTTCACTCTCCTTTTGGTCTCCCAATGCAGTCAGTTCTTATCTTATAGTAGATGCTCACTAAAGCACTGAGAAATGAATAAAGGAATGAAGTTTGGGGAGATGAAAATTTCACCTATTTTCTGAGTCAGTAGTTATATTCATAAGATAATCAATGAAGAATATATTTGAAGATGAAAGCAGAGTTGTCTATTATCTCCATAATTAATTAAGTGACTGCTGGATGCCAGGTGATTTATGTTATGACATTTTGCTCTCATAACCTAACAGATAAAAAACATCGTTCCTATTTTCAAGTGGACATACTGAAGCCTCGAATTGTTTAGAAATTTTCCCCAAGTTCAGACATTGATGGCTTGTTAGAGAGGTGACCAAACTCAATTCCTTTTCACCTCATGTGGTAACATGAACACATGAAATCACCTCCAATTTTACTATAACAATAAGAAATTGTCCAGCATTTATCTACATAAGAAATTAGTTCAAATTGTAGTAATAATCTTGAGATCACCTTTTAGTAACATAGTCTCTCACAGTATTATTGACTCATCCTTGATTCACCGTTTGTTGGGTGAATCCTTTGATCCATTTTTCCAAAAGAGGAAAGGAATTTCACTACTACCGTTGCTATTGCTATTTTCTTATTCTTCATGTGGTCCGTCATCACTAATTGTGAAAATGCTGCCTTCTGACTTAGTAAATCTGTCTTAACCAGTGGTACTGTGTTCTAATGGAACATGACTCCTAGACAAGAGAGTGTAAAAATCTGGGGCAAATCCTGGAACAAAGGTGGGGTGGGGGTGGATAAACCTAGAGATGCTTTCATGAATCACCCCCAAAGGAATAATAACTTTAGCAAAAATGAAAAACTCAGACATTAAAACAATTTGTTAGACATTTACCATTTTATAGAAATGAGAATTATTAGGGAGTTTAACCAAAGGACATTATTAATGAATGTCATAGGGCCTGGAGAGAGGCAGGTAAGAGACAGATGGCATTAAGGAGACAGCTAACTCACCTAGGAGGGTTCACAAGTGGGTTCTGCAGCTGAAGTCTTAGAAGAGCAGAGGCCAGCAACATCCTGAAAACCAAATAGGCACATCAAAGGTGACTGTTCTTCCAAATGTATAAATACCAATTTGCATCCTTTCCTCTTACAGGTACTGCAATGTTTTACCTGGTAAACACCTGTCGGTATAATTGGCAGGGGTTATTAAAAGATCTTGTCATTTCATTAGCCATTAAGACAGCTAACAATAAATCCCAGGATCTTAACAGTTGTTTGGGTTTTTTGCTTTGTTTTTTGTTCTGTTTTTGTTTTTATTTCACTGAAACTGTTTCAGGTCATGAAAAAATTCTACCAAAATCTTCCAAATCTTCAGGCCTCCTGGGGTGTTCAGTTCAGAAAAATCAAGTCACAACAAATGTCTTCTTTCTTATACAGCTTTCTATTGTCAGATCAGGGAGCTGGAAAAGGTCATGCATCGAGAAGAAGGTGAAAATTGGGGAAGTAGATAAATATTTTTTCTAATTCAGGGCTGGTGAAATTAATGTAATAGTGGCTTCAATGGGCAGTTTCAGTCGCTCTTGTACCTGTCCTCAGAGATATGACACAAGCAGAAACTGAGCTTCTTGAAAATAAAGAACATAGACGTTTGATTTTTGTCAGTGCTTCTTGGAAAGAATTCAGAAGTGCCTCTTCAACCAATAGTAGGTAGGTTTCTAGAAATCTCTGCATTGGGGAATTCATAGTAAGGACAGAGTACAACCTATATATAGAAATGAAACTTGTTGCTAATGGGTGTGCTATCTAAGGACCAGTTACACGGAAATGTCATTTTGTTTGGTCACTAAGGAGCTGTAAAACAATGAGGTTTGTTTGTAAAATAACAGTAACAATACTAGATGATACTTACATATTTAAGTTCCACACAGTGTTCTAAATACATTTAATTTAATCTAAATACATTTAATTTAATCTTCCTAATCACCCAGTGAGGTAAGTACTATAATTATCATCATTTTACAGGATAAACTTAGAAACAAAAGTTCAACAACTTGCCCACGGTCTCACATCTAATAAGTGGTGACACAGGCAGCCTGGCTCCAGAGCCCAGGCTCTTCCACAATAAACTCTATCAGATTTTTATATATAAACAATGGTATATATTTTTGAATATAAGGAACACATATTATTAATAATGGAACATAAGGAACACATATTATTAAAAATTTGAGAACGTGAGAAATGGAAGAAAAGAAATGGAAGAATAGTGCTACTAACCTCACATAATTGGACTTTATACTTTCTTTTTTTCAATAATTCCTCGTTGTTTCCTTTCCATCTTGTCTTTTGTATGGACTATGTTTTGTTTACTTTTATCTTCCACGATTATTTATAAAACAGATATTCTGTTTCTCATTCAACTCGTACCTATATTAAATTGTCCACAATTAACCTTAAGTGCATTCTTACCTAATGATTTAAAAAGAAAAGCAAAACTTCTAATGCTTTTTTAGTTTTCTCCATGTTCTCTTTTCACATTGTGATCGTAAGTTAGACTCTTTATTAAAAATTTTAAAACCTCCTTTTCAGGATTATTTTATTGAAAACATTGTTTCTTTAGTAAAAAAAAAAATTCTAGCCATCAGCATCAAGTCTTAATTCACTTCAATGTTCACTATACTTTATTCATTTATTACTTTGTCTTTACCTTCTATGCTAAATTAGCACTAATCTTTTTCCCTGAAATTTCCTATTCTTGAATTTTTGTACTGTCTCACCTCTTAGTGATCTGGAAGCTATCTCTTTGCAATTTTTACAGAAAATAATCTGACACCTTGCAGATTTAAAAATGTTCTTCTGTTGTTTATACATATAAGCCAATAATTGGGTAGGCATAAAACTTGCAGAATCAAACTTGTTTCTCTTAAAATTGTGTAGAAATTGAACTATGGTCTTAAAAAAGTTCTTGTTCTATATTAGAAATATGAAGGCAATCTACAAGAGCACATATATGTTTTCCTAGATACTTGCAGGAATTTTGTTTGTCTTAGAAATTTAAAAATTTACCAGCCTATGACCAGACATTTATCTCTATTCCTTAGTTTTGCCCAAAAGAAACCTTACAGTGTCACTGTGGCTTTTACATGTAGAAAGTCTTCTTCTGGTACGACTTTGATTTTTACTTCTGATCCACCTGCTCTATTTTCAGGTGGATCATTTGACTCATAAATTTTATTTTATTCATAAATAAATGAATTATTTTCATTATTTTGTTCATAAATTCAAGAAATAGTTATCTAACACTAACAGTATATACTGTGTTAAGCACTCTGTTGGGGTAGGATTACAATAAGATGTTTACTGTTCTCAAGGAGCTTACAATCTAAGCTAGAACTCCATAACTTGCCCATTTTCCTCTTATCCTTTTAACTTTTATTCATTTTCTTTGGATAGTTAGACTAGTTATGAGGCTTATCTTCTGTATCCCTCATTTCTACTTCTGCAAAACAGAAATTTCACTTACTGAATTTTTTATTCAGTCACAATCTGTTCTTATTTTTACCTGTTCTTGTTAAATTAAAAACAAAAGAGTCTGTCCTGCTATATTGTTATAATTGCATTCCTAAGACACCTCATATTATCAAAAGGTTATTACAAAAAACAATTATTTCAAGGAGAAAAGGGGCTAGGGGCTAAACAGTTTGAAATGCACAATAATAAAATAATGTTTACTACAGTAATTTTAATAAGTGTGCTTTTAAATCTGTTTTTAACTCAAATTACAACTAATAAATTTTTATTTCAAAATCAATAAATATAGTTCTCAACATTACTGACCAAGTAATGTTAGACTTACAATGTAAAGTAAGACCACATTTTAGACAACAAGTTCTTAGGACCATGAAATAAATTATATTACAGTTTGTAACTGTCTAAGGTAAGGAAAGGACTACAACACCAACTGAGCAGCCAGCCATTCAAACAAATCTATTCCAATTATTTTTATGGAATAATTTTGCTTCCACATGTATAACTCTAGTTCTAGACAGGCCATCATGTTAAAATTAACAATAGCCAGTAAAATGCAAACGATATATCTTAATTTATCAGTGGTGTTATCTCCAATTCCATCTACAGAGGAAAAGCTCCCATGCCTTCAATGTACTTCCATGAAATTCCCCTTTCCTTATAAGCTTACGGAGCCAGCTTCTAGCACTTACCAAGAAAGCAAAGGAGAGAACAAAAAAGGAACAAAGGAGAACATTTTGTGATGCTTATATATTTCAAGTCATTGGTGCACAAGGCCCAAGAAGCCATCAAAGGGAAGTCTTATGTTTGACCATTAAAATGCAGTAATGCAATTCTGCCCAGGAGTAACTTTTACTCTGCTATAGCATAGGAAACTCCCAAGGTATGTCAGGGCCAGCAACACTGAAGGCCACAGAAACATGTTACGGTATGAATGTGACAAAGTAGACTCTTCATTCCTTCCAATATCTGGAATATGCTTATTTCGCATATTTTTACTGTTGATGCATAAAATTCTTCTACAGACGGTTTTAAAGCCTTTAAAAAAGTAATTCGGTGGAAGAGTGTATTCATATATTGCAGCTCATTCAGTGTCTTTGCAGAAGTCCCCCAAATTGGAATCTTAACATATGCATATTGGGATGAAAGAAAAAACCCAGCTTAAAAACAGTTTTGTTAAATGTCTGTTTTTCTAATTCAATGAATGATTTAAAAAATTAACTTCATTGTTTTTTAATTTACCATCTGTTAACTCAATAAATATGAGTTCTTAAAGTTAACATAATTGTCTTGAAATTTGCTGTTTTTGAAGCTGATTAAAGTTATTTAAATTAATTTTATTGTATATTCAGACTAGAACAAGGCATGTCTGCATTTGGATAGATCTTGGCTAATAATTCACAAATAAATTTGCCCATTTAAAAAATGGACTAATTTTGTTTATGGTCCTTAATATATATCAGTCAACTTGCAGAAATGCAGAGATGCTGAGGTTAGATAACCAAAGATATAGTACATCAATACATCAAAATTTGTAGCCATTAAAAACTGACCAAGTACAAAATTTTCATCAACTCTGTCTCTTGTCTAATAAAGAGGAAACGTGGAGTTAATATCAATTAGAATGCAATTTCTTTTCACCCTACATTCTCATAGATGAAAGGAACTGCTGTGTTCTTTAAACATTGTCCTTCCTCTGGTCAGTTTATTGGATTAAGGGTGGTCATGGACCCAAGTGGACCGATCAGACTCTTCCTTGAGAATTGTGAAAGACAGAAAGATGGTCCTGTGTCTGGATGGCTCCATTGGAACATCCATGGCTTGAGAACAACCTGCAACCATGTTCTGCTACGTAACTGAGGAGAGGAGCAGCTGGACAGTCATACGGAAGAAAGCCAAAGAAGAGATATGGAGAAAGAAGATGGACTGGGTTCCCTCTAGCACTTCAGGACTTCTGTTCTGGGAGGCCACATTGCACCCCTGACTTTGGATTCCATGAAAAGCCCCAGTCTGCTTTTCCTTTTTTGCTTGAGCTCAGAGTCAGCTTCAATCAATTACAAGTCAAAACGACTTGAACTAATGCACAAGAGAGGAAATCCTCCTGATGGCAATGACTGTTTGATCATGGATTCCCAGGCTTTATTCCTCCCCCTCTTTCCTTTAGATGAGGAGAAACTTTTTATTTTAACATGTAATTTATCTATTTTTTTTTATGATTATTGATTTTTTTTGGCTTCTCTAAGAAACCTTTGTCTATCTCCAACTTATGTTTTAAAACATAAAGCTCTACAAGCTTTAGGGCTTTAGCTTCTACATTTATAGCTATAATCTGTTGCCAATGAATTGTTGTGTATGATGTGAGGGAGGGATCAAGGGCTTTTTGTTTGTTTGCTTTCTCTATGGATGTCTAGTCATTCTAGCACCATGTGTTGAAAATACTTTCTTTGGCACATTGGGTTGCTTTGGAGGAGATGAAAATGGGGAGGGAGGGCATGGAGAGGCCATCTGAAACTAAACTAATGACTTAATAGTAAAATGAAGAGGTA